TGAGAGGGTTTTCGACGATAAAGTACTGCTACTGTCAGAAAAAGTACTGCTACTGTCAGAAAAAGTACTGCTACTGACAGTAGCAGTACTGCTAGGAGCAGAGATTTTTATCGTTGTGGTCCGACGGTTAAGCCACAAACGAATGTCCGACGTCCCACCAACCGAGCCCATTCCCAAACCAGAGGAACCTAAAGCACCAGCCCCTGCACCTCAGTTCCAGCAAGTCCCTCCACCAAATTACTACCAATTTCCACCTCAAGGTTACTACCAATTTCCACTACAAGGCTTCCCGAACTACCCTCCTCAGCCTATGCCTTACTTCCCCAACCCTTGGATGTTCCAGCAAGCTCCACCCCAGCAATTCCAATCTCAATCTCAATCGAAGAGAGACCAAGACTTCGAAGAAGGTCTGAACCGTTTACGCAAAGATTATGCCACAGCCCCTATGGAAGACGACAGGCTTTCAGTCTCTTCCCTCAAATCGACCGATTCGACTCGTACCACAGATTCGGTTCGTGACCGTGAAGACTACCTCAAGCAGTCTGAGAGACTCTTCATCCTACAATCATTTACAACTGGAGCTCTCAAGAACATGCGCAATTACGAAGGTCAGACACCAGCTGGAGACCGCAAAACAGACGTACTCGCAAGAGCCGTCCAGCTCGTCAAAACAAAGACTGAGATAGTCGACTTCATTCTTGCAGCTTGCCCTTACAAGTAAAAAAATAAACAATTACGAATTAAACTTTTTACTCTTTCTTTTCTGAGTTGTTTAGAGCTGGTTTCTCTTGTAGAAACCTTTCGTACTCTTCCATGGTCATGTAATTGCGAATTTGGTACGCAATTCCAGGTTCGTTGTTTTTGAACCTTACGTATGTAACGCTTCCATCCTCCTCAGGGAAGTAAGCTGCTAACATCTGACCAAGTTTTCTCGGTGACTCGGAGCTCATTAAAAATGTCACTTTTTAAACGTTAAGTTTTTAGTCTTATTTTACCCTTTGTTTACCCTTTGTTTGTCAAGGTAGTATTGGAGTGCAATTTCTCCAAATTCTCTGTGTCGGAGTTCTTCAGCATTTTCCAAGGTGTTCCTGGAGAACTCAAAGAAGTTGTCAAGAACATACTGCCATGCTGCTCTTCTGAGTTCGTCGGTATTTTGGAAGTGTTGCACCTTCGAGTCTTCGGACATGAAAAAATGACACTTTTTCTATTAAACCGTTTTGGCATTTCTCATGAGTGAGTATAGTTCTCCCGAACCATTGGAAGAGAAGAAGTACCCTTGCTGGCAAAAGACAAAAATAGTTGCCTTAGTTGTCATTGCAATTGTACTCGTAATTGAATTCATTGTACTTCTCTTCACGTACATAAAACTCAGCAATGGTATTTGCTTTAAGAAGCTACCATCTTACTAAGACTAAACACTTAGATTTTTCAAGCTTGACTTTTTACAATTTGAATTTTGTTGCTGAATTCAGCAAAAATATAATTTAGGGTAGAAGGTTAGATCTAACCTCTTTTCTAACCTCATGAATTTTCATGAATTTTACACCAAAAATAATGTTTAGGGTAGAAGGTTAGATCTAACCTCTTTTCTAACCTCTTTTCTAACCTCATGAATTTTCATGAATTTTACACCAAAAATAATGTTTAGGGTAGAAGGTTAGATCTAACCTCTTTTCTAACCTCTTTTCTAACCTCATGAATTTTCATGAATTTTCCCGAAATAAAAAATAAAACTAACTTTATTTTTTTTTATTTTTTTTATTTTGTATAAAAGATATGATTTCAACAATCGGCACAACAACAATTCAAACAACTACAGCACCAAACTCGTTAGTTATGAATCCAACATCTATGTTAGTAGAAATGAAAAACTTCATTCCTTCTTCATATACTTTCGAAACAGAAATCCAGAAGATAAAGCAAGAACTTTTAACAAGTACTTTAGACTGTAGTGCGAAAGATGAAACAAATGAACAGTATCTTTATGAAATGCAGGACATTATTGACCATTTACCCAAATTGCCTGAAATCCAACAACAAAAACTCACTATTCCTGAATTCGACGAAATAGAAGTCAAAGCAACTGACTCAGTAGAAATAAAGAAGTTCATACGTAAGGTAAATTATGAATTCCTTGGTTTTCATTGCAACCATAAAGTTATGGACAAAGATTGCGATATGGTATATAAGAATGTTTCTGACATATATAAATCTGAAGAATTTAAGACCTACGACAACTTTGTTTCATTAGCTGCAAAATGTGTATGGCAGATAAGAGATAAAGACAGAAGAGGTAAGGTATGGAATGAACAGATAAAACCAACTGCTTCAGATTTAAAGAAAACCATTGACGCCTTGGTTGTTTTAGCAGGTAAGGTTTCAGAATATAACGCAAAAATGAACCCACAATGTTCTAAATGTAAAGCGGCAATGAGGAGATATAACTACTCCGTCAAAGAGATAGAAAGAATGAGAAACGACTATGCAGATTTAAAGAAAGAAGCAGAAAAGCCAGCAGAAGATAAAATGGACATGTTAGAATTTCTGAACAAAAACTATCCAACAGCAGAAGATTTCCTTCTATCTGACGTCAAGAAGAAATATAAAGAAACCTTCGGTATCGTTAAAACATTCGATGTACTAAAAGAAGAAATTGAAGCTACGAAACTGTTTAGAGTCTCACGAATTCATAACGTTTACCATGTAAAACGCTTATAAAATAACTGGGGTAGAAAAGAGGGTAGAAAACAGGTTAGATCTAACCTTCTACCCTAAACATTATTTTTGCTGAATTCCGTATGAAAATTCATGAGTAAAATAATTTTTAGGGCATGTGTCAAACCGTTGAGTTTTCACAAAATTTTAAAAATAACGTTTACCATGTAAAACGCTTATAAAATAACTGGGGTAGAAAAGAGGTTAGAAAAGAGGTTAGATCTAACCTTCTACCCTAAACATTATTTTTATTGAAAAATGACCAAAATTCTGAGTAAAATGGCATAAGATTGCTTCCCTCGGAAAACCGAGAGAAGAGATTCCGTATGAAAATCGTGAAATTTCTCTAGACCGACTTTTACCGGTCTAGCCTAAAACTCATGAAAATCGTGAAAAATAACAGAGTATTTTGACAACTTCAAACAAGCAGAGTAAATGAACCATTTATTTTTATTGACTTTTTACAATTTGAACTTTGTTCGCGTAGATATGAATTCTGAAAGAAGTATGAGGGTCTTGTATGACTTTGTACTTCTCCCATAGTTCATGTCTGTCAAACTTACCTGCCATGGACTCTTTCATAAGTTCCATGAAATCGTCTTCGGACAATCCGGGGAAAAGTACAATGTCAGTAAGTATTCTTTTAACATCCTTACTTAAACTCTTTGCTGTCTGTACACATATTACGACTGAGATGTTAAAGTGTCTGAGCTTCTTAAGAATTCGACACATATCTTGTTCTCTATTCTTAAGCAAAGGATGAGAAGCAAAGTCATCTAAGATAAGAAGACATCTATGAGGGTATGTCTTCCAATCGTAAGATTGCAATTTCTTCGAAATGTATTCTATCTCTTTCTGTTTGTTTCTGAAGTGTTTCTTCTCTAATATTCTCTGCATTTCCTCATTTGGGTCTTTAAACTTAGAATTTATATACTCATTTATAGCATTATACTTCAAAACTCTTCTTTGGTACTTCTTTATCCAATCTAACAACTCAGAGTCTTTTATACATACTAACTTAGACTTCTTTATAATATCTTTGAACGAATTGACGGTTTGGTCAAATTGACCAGAAGTACTACAAAATAACAACTAACTCATAGAATGGGTTCTTCTCATCTAGTTCTTGTTGTTGTGCAGCCATTTTAAGATAAGTGAAAGTCTTACCCGACCCAGGTGGTGCAATTAGACCTGTTATACCATTCTGAGCAAATAAGAACTTGTCATGTATAGGCTTTATCTGAGCATTTTCTAACTTCCTCTTGTTCTTGTTTAAAACATTCTCAAATTTCTTGTCAATGTCAGCAAACTTTTTTTCTAACATATTTTTAGAAAAATTAAAATTTTTATCTTTTAGAAAATGTCTAGCGATTTCGCTATCTATATTCGAGACAAGCTTTTCGACAGCAAAACATCTGTCGACCATAAAATCTTACATAGTGTAAACAAGAAAGGTGAATTTGTTCTAAAGTTCTGTTTCTGGGAATATGACAAGAACCATAAAACATTAAGCAGAGCAGTCTTAAAATTTGTCAATGACAGACTTGTTGACAGAGATGACGCCTCTTGGAGAGATGAAGTCCAACAAAACTTCTTAGAATGCAAAGAAGACACATGCGCTGTTCTTGAAGATGAAATAGAAAACAGAATAGATGAGCTATTAAAGGACAAAGAACTTTTACATAAATATAGTTGCGCCAAATTTGACATAACTCCACCAGAAAAGAAGAAGAAAGAAAAGAAAGAAAAGAAAGTAGAAGAAGAGAAGAAAGAACCTGAACCAGTTCCAGAGAAAAAGAAATTTGACATGTAAAAATAAAATTTTATTTTTAGAACATTTCTGGGTCAATGTCAATGTTCTCTTCCTCTTTAGGAGTAAACACTGGCTTAGACTCTAAAATCTTTTTACCCAATTTACCTTGAACTTCAACTATCTTAGACTCATAATATTCATAGTCGTCTGCTTTCTTTGGTTCATAAGGTATAACAAGTTTGTATGCTTTGCCTTCTTTAAGGTTTGAGAACCTTCTGTCAAAACTTTCTTTGACTGTTAACAAACCTTCTATGTCTAAGTCTTCAAATTTCGCACCATTTTTAGTCACAATAGCAAACTTAACTGGTTCGATGTTCCAAACTTTGCTGAATGAAGACTTTTCAAAATGGTAGAAGTAAACATTCAAATATGTGAATGGGTCTAGTTCTTCTTTAAGTCCTGACATGTACTTGTTTACTGAGATGAATTTTGTCATCTTTTCTATCGGATAAAAAAAGATTTTTTTTTAAATTTACTCAGAAAAAATTTTCTTTGTATATACACCATTCTGAACATCTAAAAGACTTTTGACATTTGCCAAGAATGTTCGTTTAGAAGCTGCCATATAACCATATTCTTGACAATATTGTTTATACGAATCGTACAATGACCTTTCATCTAATGACACAAAGTCAGTTTCATCTATGAACAGTTCATATACACTCTTGTTTGCTTCTAACAATGTTTGTCTCTCTTCGGTATGTGGAATTTGTCTTGGATTGAACTTAGAAATATCTAATGTCATGAAATATGAGAACAAGTGGTTGTAAAAGTCAGATGTCAAAGTTTCTGCTAAGTCGTCAAAATATTCTGTATCTTGCATATGAGAATCTGACGTTCTGACAACTACATATCTTCTGTCAGAACTTTCTAACTTCATCGGAACAGCATTGTTTGAAACCATAATGAAGTTTGCAACATTTTCACAAACTCTTTGGTCTTTATACTTTCTTTCACAACTCCAACTTTGTCTGTTATAAGACTCTTCAAAGCATCTGAGTTCAAAACTTTTGTTGTATCTATACTTTGAAGTTCATTGCAAACTATAAGTTTCATATTCTCTATTGAGGAGTTAAACTTGCCACAGATGTTTTCTAAGTTTGTCATATTCGGATTCGAATAACCTTCTAACAGTTTGCCACAAAATATCTGTAAAGAAAGTATTCTTACCAGTTCCTTGTTTTTCCAATTATAATGAGAGCAGTTTCATTTTTAGCACTTGGATGTTGTAAGATGTTTGCAAACCAACATAAGATATACTCATAAACCTTTTCGTTTCCATTGCATATAATTCTTTGACATGGTCTAACCAAGCTTCTATAATATTTTCTTTCCATTCTACTTGTTCATATTTATATCCAGTGAAGATAGAATAGAAGTTTGGAGAAGGTGTATAGAACTTTATACCTCGAACTGAAAAATCTTCTAACTTTGACAATAAGATATCCCAAGCATCTAACATCTTCATTCCAACTTGTACAACTTTTATTTCTTAAGTTTCTGTCTACATTCTTGTTCAGACACTATTGTTGCTCTTGGTTTGTTAAAGACTACATCCCATTCTTTCATGACATAACATTCTGGGCAGAGTCAACATAAATGACTAAACGTTTCAAATTCTCGACTGCTTTGTTATAGTCTCTAAATGGACACATATTTCTGAATGCTTGGAAGTCATAAAAATCTGAAACATCTATTCTGTACATTTTTATAAAAATAAAAAAAAATATTATTTTTTTATTCTTGACTTTGTTGTTCCATTTGTTGCATTTGTTGTTCTTGAGCTATTTGTTGTTGAAGTTGTTCTTGTAATACAATACTTTCACCAGTTGCATCTTCCAATTCGAAACTTCTGCCGTCATTGACAAATACATAGGACATAAAAGTTTTACAGGAACAAAGTTTGCGTCAACTAATGTCAACGTTATACTTGCCAAAGTGTTTGAGTTCACTAAGGTTGAAAAATTCTGCATTCGAATGAACAATAGGCAAACCAGCAGAGAAAGTATTGTTTATACGCATAAGTATCTTTTGGTCATAATAGTTTCTGTCGACATTCGAATAACACTTTGAACCTAAGTTTTGAAACAATATATAAAATTGGTGTGCTTAATGTCAATGGAATAGACATTCCTTGTATGACACCTTTTCCTGTTATAGGAAACTGTTGGTAGTAAAAACCAGAAAATAAGTTTTGTATTATAGCTCATATCGTTTATAGTAAACTCAGTCGGACATCCAAACATAATGAAACCTGCTCTAGTTGCAGCACATGTTACACCCGTACTTAAAAGTATTAAATAAGTCAACAAAACCTGTTGGTGGTATATCTGAGTAAGTATCTTCAAAGGAGTATTTTTTACCATTCACACAATAAAGTCTTCTGGTGTCAAAAAGAGCAAAACAGGCTTTAGTCGTCATTGTGTTTAAAGTTAGTTTACAATATCGTCCTTGAGGACTTTGTAAGTTTGTTGTTATAGAATTATATGACTCAGGGTTTTTAGTCGTATAATAGTATAAACCATTATCATCTTCTGCCATTTATATATATTTAAAAGTTTTTCTGAAAGTGGAGAAGAACTTCATCTAAACTTTCACATGGCGTTTCTTGAAGTTCTCTGTCTAAGAAGTTCAAATATTTTGTAAAGACATAGAACTTTCCTTTGTCTACACGAACAAACAAAACAGGGTCTTTCATATCGTTTCAAAAGTGTGTAAAGTCCTTTACATGAAATAAAGTCTATATTATTTTTCTTCAAACATCTTTCAAGAAGTTTTGACATTTTTACTTAGCAAATAAATTTTAATGAAATGTTGTGGTCGTCAAATATAGGGTGTCCAAAGGTGTGTTTAGCACAAACCTGAATACTGCGAATAGAAATAAACAAGTTACATATATATAAAGTTTATTTAAATATAATCACCATTGGATTCAATCACGCGTTCGCAGCGATCGATCCAGGCTTGAAAGACACGCTTTAAATCATCATGAGAAAATTGCTCAAATTGCTCTCTTACAAAATTTTCAAGATCATCTGGACTCGCGAATTCGCGTCCTTCAGCTCTCTTTTTTAGCGTGCCGAATAAATAAAATCAGAGGATGCAAATCAAGTGAATAAATTGGGTTTGGAACAACTTTGACATTGTTTTCCAACAAGTAATTCATTACCTTATGACTTTTGTGAACTCTTGAATTATCAAAATGAATTGCAAACTTTTGTTTTTGTTGTTTGGATTTCTCAAAACTCATCAGAATTGATAATTTGAGTAAGAACATTGTCAATTAGATACTGAGCATTCATCGTATTAGGTTTTTGAAGAATATCAATTGCGATGATGCCATTCACGCCCCAAAAAACCGACAACATCATCATCGGTGTGTCAATTTTTTTCTTCGGGAATGTTTGCGGATTTTCATCCTTCGGGATCCACATGATTTTGGCTTCTGTTGCATATTGAAACCAAGACTCGTCCCCTGTTACTAAAAAGCGAAACTTCTTGGATTGATACGCACCCAATATAGAGAGGAGCTCTTTCGAAGATTGGACTCTAGATTTTTTTTGAACTGAATTAAGGTTGTGCGGACCCAACGTGTATACGCTAGTTTTTTAGTTCAAATAATTGTGCAGATAATAACTGACTGTGTACGTGGTATCTTTGTCATCTCCTCTATCCTTCTGAGTGATGCTCTTGGGTCTTCATCTAGCGCTTGAAGAATTGCTTTGATTTTTCTTTGATCCGGCGATTTTTTGTCAATTTTTATGATGGGCGCCTTTTTGTTCATGAAGTGATACATCCTAACATGATACGTTACAGTGGAATAGCTCGGAGCATCCATACCGAAGCATTTTACCAATGTCTCGTAGATTTTTTTACAGTCTTTGCATTTTTTTGCAAGAGCGAGGATGTTTTCTTTATGATTCATTAAAAAAATGAAAAAAATCCCGCCAAAATTTCCCGCGAAACCACCTCTTGTCTCAAAATTCATTTTATATCCCGGCATGGCGCCAAAATACAACATACTCATCATATACATATATTCATATTTTTTATTATATATTTATAATCAGCATATATCTCCTTTAATAGTCTCATATAGAGCGCTGTGCTAAACGCACCTTTGGACACCCTATATTTTTATGACGTCTGGGAAACTATACTTTAAGTTCAACGTTTCACCTCCTTTCATAACGTATATCTTGTCAATGACATTATATGAAACACCACAGCAACTAATGTCGGGTTCTATTTCTTTGATGTTTATATCGTCTGCCTCTGTCAAAAGTTTCAATAGTTCTTTCAAGACTTCATGAGGTGCAATGACATATGAGTTCACTTTTACAGGGTTGTGTTCGACCAAGTTTAACATTATACTTAAAGCTTGACAAATCTTCTCCTGAGTTTGAAGTTTGTCTTTCAGTTGTTGGTAGTCGTTTCGAATATCTGCAACAGAACTTAAGTCTCTGCTAACATTCAGGATATGTTGGTTGTTCTTTTACAGGAACAATTGTTATACCATCTTCGTCCTCGTATGGTTTCCCCACTTCAACATCTCTGTCTTTGACATGACAACAACACTTTGACTGTTTGTTTGAGTTGCGTGAATTTAACTTCACATCTGCCACCGCCATTAAACCTTTTGAAACACTTACGCTTCTATTTTTCGGAAATGACATTTTACTTAGAATAAAAAGATGGACGTATTCGAGTATCTCTTCGAATTGAAGCAGAACAAAGTTTACACACACAAACAATACAAATACATTGACAGAATAGTTCTTTATACAAACAATGGTAAATGTTATAGAATAGCAATATCTGCTGAACCAAATATTTCCATAAAGCAAAGAAAGTTGGTATAACTGAAATGGTGAAAGTTCTTGACGTTGACAAAAATATAACAACAAAACTTACAGATATTTCTAAAGGTAAGTTTATCTTACAATATTATGTCAAAACTGGCGTACTGTCAATATTTGACGGAGAGAAGTCAGTTCAAGAACAACTTACTGACCTGCTGCCAAAATCTGCTCGATGGAAGCTGTCGTTATGCCAATCTGAGGAGCCCCAGCAGGTTTCATCGAACGAATCTTCAAAGAGCATCTTCCGTGAAAAGTGCTATTGGTTTTGTAAACTTCTTTGCTCTCAGTTCATCTGGACCGTCTCTGTCACCAGTATATTGTATTTGTACAGTACCAACAGTTGAAATACCACCCATAAAGTCTTCTGAGTCAGCAAATGGAATGCCAAGCCAAAAGTTTGAACGGTCTCCATTTGTATATTGAGTTTTTTTGACCTCCTGTATGAGTCCATACTTTCACATATGGCATAATAGAACTTTGCATTTCAGGGTTAATGGTCGTTGTGAAGTTGTTGTTAAAGTTCATAGCATCTAATGTCAAGTTGTATGACCTCATATCCTCAACTGTAGAATATTCTTCTCTTGGATAATATTTACCATCTATGTTTATATGATATTTAATACCGGGGTTGTAGAAACAAGAATAGTCATTTATAGTTCGTCTGAACAGTACAAACATAGTATCTGCATGTTTCATTGCAGTTGTTAAAGCAATATCTGTTCTTGCACCTGGGTCAGCACTTTGGTTTCCAACTTCACCTGCAAAGTCTTTGACAGATATTTGGTGTATAGGGAACATAAGTGGAACTGCAATATATTTGGCAGCTAAAGCATTTGAAATATCTGGGTCCAACATATAGACTGCAAGTCTGCTTTCTATTCTCTTGCATTCAAACTTTTCGCATGTGAACTTAACTGGGTCCCAAGCAGTTCCAGCAGCATTGAAATATAGTTTACTTCATTGTTGAAGTTTGAGAAACCAAAGTCTAAGTCAACTTTGTCTTTGCAAAAGTCACAGAACTTGGCTCCACCAGTTCCAGCTTACAGTAATGCTGAATGGGTCTTGTGTTGGTGCAATGACTAAGTTATTTTTGCTTGGAGTAAGTTCAATAGAAATTTTTCCTGCCCAGTTTGGCAAGTATCTTAAAAACCTGAAGATGAGGAAAGATGACAAAGGAACTCTAAGTTTCAGTTTTACTTTAGTGGCAGCAGTTCCATCTGAACCAGAAAGGTTAACATAAACTCCTGGAACGTTAGGGTCAAGTCTTCTTATTTCTCAATATTTGCATACTGGTCTGTGTTCTCTAGCTTGTGGTTGTACTGAGTTTCTCAAAGCGAACCATTCATAGTTTGCCCATGTTACTGTTTGAACTAAGTCAGAGTTAGAATATATCTTATATCCATGAAAACTTCTGGAGCATATTGGTATCCGACATAGAAAATTCCATTGCAACCTTTCTTGTCAGACAACTTGCAGAAGGTTTTATTTCAATGTCTTGTTCCACGTATAAGAATGAGTTGTCAATAGAAATAATAATGAAACCTGTCGCAAGCAATATCTACTGTTGTTGAAGAACCTTCCCAAACTCACCTACGTTTCCATAAGAAA